GATTTCTCCTACGGATGGAAAGTTCAGACCCCCACAGGTTAAAACCGATCACCTTGACCTACCACCTGATTTCCAGATGGAGGCTCTGCAGGTCACCAAATAGGACACCTTCCAACAAGGTGGGGGAAGGCTGTGTGCTGGTATGCGGATTGGGTATGTCATTAAAAGTGTTGTAATCAGCAATTATAATGGCCTTGCACGGCCCAGGGTTGCCAAACAACCTGTCAAAGCTCCTCTGACTGGAAAGCATCAAAGGCCAATTGCACCTATATAAAAAGAGACCATATATCCAGGAAGGGAAAGACGGCTTCTAGGAACTAAAGGACACTCCTGCCAGCAGCCTGCCATGATGCAGAAGGAGCAGTGAAATGGAAAGTACTGGGGTTGGCTCCACGGCAGTTCTCCCTGCCCGAACGTTTCTCATTCAGTCTCCAGCAGAAAGCAGGCAGTGATTGGAGAGGAGGTTTAAAAACTACTGTTTCTTCTCCTAATTCAGTGGCAGAAGCTCACTGAGACCCTGGGAGACTAGTGCCTTTCTCCCACAGTGTCTCCATTCGGTTCTGCATAACAGGCAAGCAGAGCGGGTCCGTGATCTTGGACGCATGGGCACGGCTGTTTGCTGTTATGCTCTACCCAAAAGAATGAGCTCAGAGTCCCAGTAAATAGGGACTGCTGGGGTCTCCATCCTTTGCTCCAAGGCAGGATCAAGTCTATTTAAAACCACTGAGGGATGCTTATCTAAGCTTTCTTAATAACTTCCCAGGGAAATCTACTCCAGCACTTCACTCCCTTTATGGTTAGAAAGCCTGTTTGTAAACAGGAGGAGGGCTTGGAAACAGGCCCCGGTCAAAGAGAGCCCAAGCATTCGCCTCTGAAAAGCCTTGGATTGGCTGGAGTTGGTGTCCGAGCTGTAGTTTACGGCCAACTCTGTGTCTTAAACCAATACTTATTTGCGGCATTGTTTGGTTTCTGCAGTCTCCGTCCTTTGTCTTGCCTTCAATTTAGAGGACGGGGTGAGACCTACAGAGCCTGGCGCCCTGTACAGACATGCACACATCAGGGACTTGCACTGCATTCTTGCTGGGAAGTATTAGGCCAGTCTTGTTTGACCAGCCTTTGAACCAAGTGGGGAGGAGAGGGGGGCAGTGCGTGCCTGGTTACTTGTTTCAAATGCTCTTTTTCTGTCTGCAACACTCTCATGACATTTATCTTAAAAATAAAAGAGTGTGCTCTGGTGTCACCGGCACCCAGACATACCTTACATGGGTGAAATTCTGCTCTGGGTGACGCAAGAGGTCACACTAGATCAGCAGCATGGTCACCTCTAGCCTCAAACCTCTGAGCCTGCTTTGGTGTCCAGGCATTTTCCAGCACACCCAAAATGGAGCACGGCTTTTTGAGCAGGCATGCACACACCCACCTCAGTATGCACGGCTTTGTACAATTGGCAAAACCTCTTGATGATTTCATAGGCCACCTCCCCAAAACAGCAGTAATATGTTGGCAGAGTGTAAAGGCAAAAAAAGGTCCATTTTATAGCCTGACAATGGCACCTGGTGAATATTATCAGAGAGCTGATGGGGTGCATCTACACAGGCTATTACTGTGCATCAGTAAACTCCAGAGCGCATTGCTCTACAATTTATTGTTCCCAGGTGTGCCATTTGAATGTGCATCCGGAAGCAATAAACACTGGAGGAGTTTCTTCACGTGCAGCACACGGAGCTGGGTCAGAGCAGCCACAGCTGTCAGGGGGCCCCAAGGATCAGCCTGCCAGCCTGGGGCTGCTCCCCACCCACCCAGCTCACTGTGCTGTGGAGGGGCTGGTTGGGGCCACGAGGGTGCTTCAGTGTGGGACTAGATGGCAAGCAGCCCCCAACACTGAACCACCCTCGTGCCCCAGCCAGCCCCTCCAGCATCTGCACACATGCTGCTCCAGGGCTTTTGGAAACTTAAAGATCAAAAGTGAATGTTTCTGACTGCTCCTAGCTCTGGGTCTTCTGTTAGATTAGGGAAGGAGGGGAAGTGAGCTATTACAGAAGGAGGGGAAGTGCACGAGGGTATAGGTAGGGGAATATGCATGGGCAGGAGGGGGAATGGGGTTAGACAGAGCCTGGAAGGGAAGGATGGGCAGAAGTTGGAGTTGTGTGTGGAAGTCAAGAGGATGCCCATTTAACCATCTTAGCAAAAAGCCTTTTGGATAGGCAGGAACAAGGAGAAAGGAGCTGTGGAAAAGATGAGAAGATGAATAAAGGCACAAGCCAAGACAGAGCTACAGCAATGGGGACAAGAGTGGCTTGAGAAGGAAGAATAAACTTCAGGCCTCAGCAAGAACGTGGACTTGGGAAGGGGAAGCCACAAGGATGAGCTCAGATGACTAGCGAGATGGTCAACAAGGGAGTAATTCTGCTTGTTGCACTGTGTGTGACTACAGTACGGCTGCACTGTCTTCCGTGAGGTTGCAGAATAAGTCTGGAGTAAGAATTCAATTCTGGTTTAGGAGATACTGAACAAACAACCGCCGCAAATAGAAGGCTGATGGATGCCACTCCACAGTGCCAATAAACTGTGTGGCTGTAGACTTAAGAAAGTGGCTAGCCAAAGGTCGCCCGATGTCTGTCCGTGCTATCAGTTGAGTACACACTTTAATAACTCGGTATGATCTAATAAATTCCTATGCAGGCATGTAATAAAGTTAGTCCTGGGACCTGCTGATTTCAGGTATTCTTCAGTTTGGACCCAGGGTGCAGATCTGTCTCTAGCTGCTCTTGGATTCTGGCATATCCAGCCAGTCAAACCAGTTTAGAAGTGTACTACAACACCATTATTAGATCTGTAGTGATGTATCAGAGTGAGACTTGGTGCACAATGCTGGAAAACCTATAGAAAGTGATTTGTTTTAAAAAAAAAAAAAAAAAATCAATGTTCTCAGGAAGAGAGTTGGACCGGTGAAAGCCCCAGTGAGGGGTAAATGGAGGAAACGTAGTAACGAAGAACTATGAAACATCATAGAACAGCCCCTCATTACAGGAGTGGCGTGTGTACAGTGGTTAGCAGGGATTGGCCATGTGGTGAGAGTAGAGTAATTGAGAAATATCATAATCATCAACCAATAGGACAACGTCTTTGAGGTAGGCCTTGCCAGTGGTTGATGGACAACATAAAAAGAGACCTGAAAGTACTTAATGTAGGGCAGCATTGGGTGGAGACAGCTCACGACAACCAGGAATGGAGGCACATCATAGAAAATGAGGGTGGGAAGGGACCTCAGGAGGTCACATCTAGTCCAACCCCTGCTCAAAGCAGGACCAGCCCTAACTACATCATCCCAGACAAAGTCTTGTCTAGCTGGGTTTTAAAAACCTCCTAGGATGGAGAGTCCACCAATTCTCTGGGTAACCTGTTCCAGTGTTTTACTATCATCAAGAGGCCAAAGCACTACAAGTGCTAGTTAGCCACTGGTTCCTGGAAGCAAGAGTAATGCTTTAGAAATGTGCACGCTGGTACGATGCCTGCAGCCACCCTGTGCAGAGACCTGGTCCGACAAATGGGTAAGCCCCAGACGCAAAGCACTCTTACTCGTTAAGTAAGCAGTGGCAATGGAAGAAAATGTTAGCCAGGCTGCAGCACAACCCAGCTTGAGAGCCACTTGCAAGGCAGTGGAACGCGAAGAAAACCCACATCCTGTCTTGCAGCCCCACAAGGGAATTATCTGACTAGTCAGCTCCTAAAGCCCCTTTTAAGTCCTCATCAGAGCTGGAGGCGTGAAGCATATCTGTCTTTTCTGGCATCTAGCTGCATGAGGCAGCCCATCTACTCTGACGACCATCTCATTACAGCACTAATAGTTAACTGAACGTTGCCCTAATTAGCCGCACAGCAGCTATCGTTGTCTTTAATTACAGCAACTCTTAGTCTAGGTAATTTGTACTAAAGTGGAAGAAAATTCCCATGCAAACCCTTCCCTGCCATCCATGCAGACATCTTCATTAAAAATACATTTGCTTCATTAGAGATAATTGCTGGGGGAAGCAATAAATCAGTAGCCAGAATTCTCCAGCGTCTGAAAACCTCCAAATTCACTTGAAGTTGGAGTTGCAGCTGCAAGAGAAATTCACCCGCAAGAGGTTGAGGGACTGGGTTGGTACCCCGCACATCCCTCAGAAGCTGTGTCCCACCTGCATGCAAGGGAATTTACTTCCTCATGGATCCTTCCAACAGATGCTCTTCAGCTACAAAAGGAGCTTATTCTAGGTGTGTATACATGCACTGACATGGGAATAGACACTACAAAAGCAAACGAGGAACTGAGAAGACCACAAAGAGAAGGAAGGGGAGACGAGACAAAAAGAATCAATGAAAGGGAAATAGTGCAACTCATGGTATTTAAAGACACTTGGCTTGTTCAGCCACTGCGTTCATCAGCCTCCTTTAACAGCAGCAACATTTTCAGACATCTGTAAAGGTCGGGTGCGCTGGCTCTGCTGTATCAGATGCCCAGGTTTTCCAACAGAGGTGCTGACTGCCCTAATAAGAAGCCGGAAACCCAACTGGTTGCCTCTCCACTCGGTCAGCCCAAGTAAAAAAAAACAACACAGAAAAAACCAAACACCTTACGGGTTTGTGATAAAAAAAAGGGGGAAAAAAAATCATCACGCACCTGAAGAACCCTTTGCAGCCTTCACACGTCATGGCATTGAAATGAAAGCCCGTCGCCTTGTCCCCGCAGACGCCGCAGATCCGGGGAATGTTCCTATCGAATTCGCCGGCTGGGTCAGGCAGCGAGGTGCTCGCTGCCATAATCTCCATTTCTGAGATGGGAAAGAAGCCAAAAAAGGTTAGAGACTACCTCCTCCTCACTGCAGAGTCTTATAGCAAAGTTACAGGCAAGGCAGCACTAGCTGGCATCTTGTGCCAATCCTGGCACAGGGCAGGAAGAGCTTGCAATAATGTGGTTGAAAGACGGACGCTTTTTGTGCATCTGCCCACCACTGCAATCCTCCATCTGAGCCCAAGAGGCCAAAAGAGCCTTACCAGATGCACTTCCAACCTCACCTTGAAGCACCTCCAACCTTTCCCCAGACTCCTGGGGGGGTGGACTTTCAGCCTCTTTTGCTCCTGACCCTTCTTGTTCCTGCGAGAGTCTGCCCCGGGACTCAACCGTACGCTGTGTTTTCATCGGTCAGACTACGCGGGAAAGCGTGCCACTACCCGAGCAAAGTCAAAATTTCCCTGCTTGGTAAAAAGGGAAGTGACTAGCACCACCCCAGCCATCTCACACGCGGAGATGAGTAACCTGCCAAACACGCCAGTCAAACAAGTATTGTTTTGGTTGGGGGGTTTTTTCCCTTCGTCCTCCTTCTTAAGAAGTGGTTTGGTTTTTTGTTTTGTTTTGTTTTTAAAGGGAGAGGAAGAGGTACTCAAAACACCTTGCACATCAGGTTGTTGCAGTGAATGCTGGAATTCACACTTTCATGCACATCTCTTAGGACAGGGTCATAACTCTCAGAACCGTCTTCCAGTTTAAAATTAAAAAAAAACCTCTTGAATTATTTTGTTTTGCCTTATAATAACCCTCCAAAAAAAGGCTTTCTATGATGTGGTAGACTTGCCAAGGAAGGATCTCTGTACAACTCTCTGGCAACTCTATTAAGCTCAACAGAAATGCACGTGTGCCTTGCCTACACAGCATCACATTCCTGCCAAGTTTGGAGTTTCGGTTTATGATGGAGAATTGATTTATACAATCATGACTTGTCGGACCCACAGCTTGTGTTTGGACGCGCTGTGTTTGCGGTAGCCTGAAGCTTTGCATGCTCTTGAACCCTGGGACCAAGCAGCAGGAAAGACTGGCGTTTTTATCATCCCCGCTTTTCTATTCATGCCCAAAACTTCACGTATAGAAAGATTACATGTAAATGAGCTGCTTTTTTTTTTTTTTTTTTGATAGGAGATTTCAGCATTTAACCCTTGAGAACTAGAATATGAAAATGTTACTGTAAAATATTCATTTCCCACATGGTGCACACAGTGCCAGATTTTCCAAAGTGATCAGCTGGGAGATTGGCCGGTGGTGGGGAGGAATTTATGCCAATCTTACTGTTCAAAAGTTTCCTAGGCAGGACTGAGCTGACCCATTGCAAGCGAGGTTATATTTCAGAAGTAATGCTGCACAGTGGTTAGAGGGGACTGGGTTTAATTCCCAGCTCAAACAACTTGCTGTGCAACCTTGGAGCAGGTCTCCTTGCCTCTGAGCCTCAGTTTTCCCTACCTGTAAAATGGAGTCATACTATTAAGCGCACACTAAGGGCTTGAGGCCTAAAGTTTGGAAACTGATCTACAATCCCTAGAGAAAGCTACAGAGTTTTCCATGATAGCGACCACATGCAGTCTGGCTACATTACTGCTCTTCCTATTCCACTTTTTTAAAGATGTTTTACTATGTGCTTGAATTGCTCTACATAATGCTCTCGCTTCCGGCAGCCACTGATTAGTCATCAGGTGAACAACAGAAAGGCTGTCAGTAGCAGAATGTGTCGATTTTAACTCCACAGTTTAATTCTCGGTTGCAATCAGCTTGGATCTGTCAGTTCATTTCTTTTCAAGCATCTCGTTTCCTGCTAACGGAGAGTCAATCAACAGGATGACTGGAAAATTAAACTACACAGGTGGTTTGAAAGTCTGCGTCACTGCTCTCCAACCCACTGCTCACAGACAGCTGGAAATTAATAGTCTGATGTAGTTTGTAGTAGAGTACCGCACTCTCTCAGGATTGCTGCCCATGAGACAGTGAGAATTGGGGATCACGGTAGCCACTCGAATCAACAAAGCCAGGCTCAGACCTGCTACAATACCAACCCTGGGACAGAGTCCTTCTGGTTGTCCCCTACAGCCTCCAGCTTGAGTACCTCAGACATATCATTAATGACCTCCAGCCCCTCCTGGAAAAGGATGAGCTCTTCAAAGTCGTCATGGGGGACAAACCAGTCCTGTGTCTCAAGCAACAAGCTACCCAAGTCCCAGCCTCACCAAGACACCCGGCCTTGCAATGGACCCAAATGCCTTCTGTGCACCAGCAACAATGCAGACCACATCAGCACTGGACCAAACATGGATTATATAACATCCAAGGTTCATTCACTTGCAATTCCACCACCGTCATATGCACCGTCACCTGCTTGCAGTGCCCCTCTGTTACCTACATTGGATAGACTGGGTGATCCCTACGTGGCAGGATGAATGAACACCGCCCTGCCGTCAGGTGCAAAAAGATGAGTACGCTTCAACCTCCCTGGATGCTCCACCATTGATGTGAGGGTGGCTGTTCTCCGACAGCAAACATTTAAAAAATGGATTTGAACGGGAAATTGGGGAACCAGAAATCATCTGCAGACTGGATTGTGTTAAGTACGTTTTAAGCAGGGACTTTGGATTCCTGTCCCATTACCTGGCTTAGCTTTGGAGACCCCTTTATTCCTATGGGATTGTTGCTTTTTTGCTTGTCTCTGCCTCTGCCACCACTGCCCTCTCTCTGTTCATTTCTCCCTCTCCATCTTCCTCCCCTTGTCTTTTGTATTCAAATTTCTGTCTTCTTATAACTCTGCTTTCTTCATGTCCTTTCATAGCATCTGATGAAATGAGCTTCAGCCTAAACTTGTGCTACACACACACACACACACACTTTTGTTAGTCTGCAAGGTGTGAATCTACCCAGTCTTCTAACTTGACTTCCGACTAACAAGTATGTCTCAGACCAGCACCGTGCCTAGACTGCTGGCAGCCCCCGGTGAACTTTTAGCATTGCACCCCACTTTGCCAGAGATAATCATAATAATCTTTAAATTGCCATTTTCAGGCCCCCTTTCTGTCCAGGCCCTGGGTGACCACCTGGTTCACCCATGTCTGGGTCTGGCCCCGTCTCTGACCACTGGTTTGTGCATAGGACAGACAGCTGGACAAGATTTTCAGTGCCACTCAACCCCTCTGGAGCCTTGATTCTTGCTGAAAGTCAGTAGGAGTAACACACATCTAAGTCACTTAAAGAAGACAGGCCTTACTCTGTAACCCTGGAGAGATCTTATTATATCGAGCAGGAATATTCAAGGGCTGGGATTTTCAGAGTTGCAATGAATTAGATCTGAAGGCCTCGACTCCTTTGAGCTCCTATGAAAACCCAGCCAAGACAGACAGACCACCAGGCCCCCCTAAGATCATTCAACCGGCTTTTCTCCCAACTCGAAGACTCAGCAGCAGAAAACAACAAATATTCTCAAAGAAAAAGGGCTACTTTACCGGCATCTGGCAGATATGCTACGTTTTGCTGGTATATTTCCCAGGAGCTTGGAATCTCCGACATGGAACAACCTGCAGGATGGGAAACGTTTCACAAGGTCAATTTCACTCGCAACGTCAATTTCTCACCAGCTGTAATAGACGTGGGGCAAGTCCAATGGATCATCTCGGACTTTCAGTTTGGGAAATTATTCCTATCACTAACACAGAGCCATTGACGTCAGCAACCTGCATCAGCCGGGTGTGGTGCTCTCAAGCTACCTGGCCCCACCCATCACACCAGAGGTGTCACTTAACACTGATCCCCATGATACAGAGGTTCTCAAAACACCCTCCTTCCTAAAGATACGGACAGTCATTTTGGGAGCAAGTGATTATGCCGCCCTCCAGGCCAAGGAGAAACCATCCGCTCATCACCCATCCCGTGACCCACAGCACAGGAAGGGAAAAGACAGGGAACAAGTGCAAGAATGATGCATGGCTCAGTCCTTTCGGCTGCACCAGTGTATTTCATAACTTAGCTCAGTCAGTGCTGCATGGGGTGACGCTTGGTTCTGTGGAATGAAATGAAGCAATGCCAAATGGCTGAGTCGCGCTTCGGTTGTGAGTCAACAAGGCATAAAGGTTTCAAGCCAATGGGATAATTGAAGTGCTGGGAGTTACGCGTGTGTCTAAGTACATTGCTGCATTGGAAAAATCCGGTTGGCGAAATAAAAGATGCACAACAGTAGATTGAGCAGAGGTGCCAACGCCAGCAATAATTTGGGATCTACACATGTGCGTTTACTGCACAGTAACTGAAATTACTATGCAGTACGTGCACACATCTACACGTGCAGGAGATATGGAGACTTATGCTGACTTGAGCATAAATTTGATAGCTACATCAGGCAGGCATCAAATTTATGCCCAATTAATTACTGTGCAGTAACGCATGTGTAGACATGTGCAGTAATACTGTGTGTGGACTGACTTGGGACTAAAATTAGTCCCAAGTCAGTCCACATGCAGTGTTAATGCACTTTAACACCAGCATGTGTGGATGTTGGCCTATTTCTGCTTACTGCACACAGTAATTTACTGCACAGTAAATTTAAGCTGGTGTAAATGCACATGTAGACACGCCAAATAAACTGCACTAAACAATCTGCACATTAGGCCCGTGCAAAGTGGCTAGTATTCGCTTCAGATTCAGAATCAGCTCCAGACAGTTGGGGGGTGATCCCTGCTGCCCACCCCTGTTGCCCCACGTCATGCGGGGGGCTCTTGCATGAGCTCTAAGGCCGCTGCAAGAGTGGGCAGTCCCGGGGCTTTCCTCTGTTTTGTTTTTTTTTCTCTTAAAGGGCCAGAGCTGTCCCACACAGGGCACCCATGGGGGGGCAGGGGGGCTAGCAGCTTAGAGTCAGCTGCAGCTCCCTGCTGTAGCCACTGGGGGCTGCCCGAATCAAAGCTCTCCATATCTTTTCCGAAGATTCGGACAGCTTTGAAATCGATCCGGACCTTTAAATTGGTCCCCTGATTTGGAGACTTAGCCACCAAATCCGGCCGAACCTCCTCCAAATCGAATCATCATCTGAAGCTTCGCACAGCCCTAATACAAATCATGTTTTCTCTTTTCTGCTATAAGAGCAGTCATCTGGCAGATGACAGAACAAAGAGCAATCGCCTCAAGTTGCAGCAAGGGAAGTTTAGGTAAGACATCAGGAAAAAAAAAAACAAAAAAAAAAAAAACACCCTCACTAGGAGGTTAGAAAAAACACTGGAACAAGTGAGGTGGTGCAAATCTCCATCCTTGGAGGTTTTTAAGACCCGGGTAGACAAAGCCTTGGCTGGGATGATCTAGGTGGGGCTGGTCCTGCTCTGATCAGGGGGTTGGATTAGATGTGACCTCCTAAGCTCGCTTCCCACCTGAATTTTCTATGATTCTATAGATGTGTTCATGGGCAACTGGTGCCTCCTGGACTGGGTGGGGGCATTTGCCCCCCCCCCCCCCAGCAGGCAGTCAGCAACCGGGGAGGGGGGTAGTCCCCCATGGGCAAATCACACCAACCTGGAGGTGCCAGCAGCGCTTCCCCTGCTGCCCCCACTCCCCGGCAGGTACTCTCAGGGAGGACACCAGTGCTCCTGTCTGCCCCCCCTGCTCATCACCTAAGCAGGGAATGGTGGCTGTCAGGGGGTGCATGTGCACCCCCAGGTACCCCCTACATGTCACCGCCAAATAGACCAAAAGATAACCTAAACGATAAGTTACAGAGCTTTTAGGGTGCAGAGTTGAGAGTTCCCTTGACGAGCTACTTCCAAATGTTTCTTAGAAGGGCTCAATATTGCTGGAAAGACCGTGTAAACTTTTGACAAAAGCAGCCAGTCCGGGTTGCTAACCCAAAACTCAATTAAAGAGCCCAGCCTATATGTGCACAGATGTGCTGATGAAATGGGGAAATGGACATGACAAATGTAGGCAACAATCCAAAATCATCTGGCATACAGCCATTCTGGGTGCAGTTACTAATACAGTTTATCAACACCCTCCACAAGACTTTTTTTTTAGAGCACCATTTTCAAGGGAGAGTAAAGGATTAGGTCACCCAAAAACTACATGGTTTGGACCACTAGTTGCTGTAGCCTCCTATGAAAATATTAACCTACGTTAATAAACTCACTGGACCATTATGAAGAATCACGCAAGAATCAGCCCAGAATGAAGGGCTAGTGGGTTACAAGATACCGTACCAGTTTGGTAGGAAGAAGGGAACCGTCCTGCTAGGACATCAAAGCCTGAAGCCCAGCACCCTGTCACCCATGAAGTGTCTTCTCAGGACTCCCCAGTCATATAGTTACCTCTTGGCTTATAAATGATGGAGAGGTGGTCACTGAGGCTGGTCTACTTTCGAATTAAAAAATAACTTCATTGCCATTTAGCTGTGAGTAGGTAACATAAAAGTGATGCCTATTAGGGAAAGGAGGACGAAGATAATAATTTTCTTAACATCTGCTGGCTGCATTTCATCACCATGCAGATTCTAAACTCATTAGCGGACTTGCTTCGAGCTGTACCCCGACAGGGCCCTCACGCACAAGTAGCACCTGTAATGCTGAGTTCAGTCTGAATGTTTTTAAAAGGGTTTTTCCCGTATATTACGCTCAGAGTCTAAGAGCTGTTTCTGTGCTGCTGGGATGCAGAGGACACCCATTGTCAAAGAATCCCCTCCAGACCGAGCCCAAGCCTAGGTACAGAGGAGGCAGACTCGTCATATGGATTTACAAAGCTATCCAGTAGCTTCAATATTCATCTCAACCTTCATCCCGGTTTAAAATATAGCGAAGAATCCCATGCAATTACAATGCTTCCATTAACAGGTGATATTATGACATCCATGACCTAACTTTGTACATACATCATTTGTGTTCAACAAGGATTACCATGTGTTAGAAGCTATTTTCATCCTGTTTCAACTAAAAAAAAAAAACCCCAAACAAACTTATTTGCCTGCAGCTTGCCTTGCGTGTGATGGGACAATGTCAGCTCACAAATTAAGCAAGACTGATGGCTACAATCAATGCCTGTTAGGAGCAACATATCCAGGTTGCTCTATTACAGGGAGTGTCATGTGAATACGAGCTGGAAAATGCTCCCGGGGAAAATGTTGCTGGGAGGAGTTTGCTCATTTGCAGCAGCATCTGATAAGAGCAACATCATTGATATCGGGATGGAAGAACTCCAAGGACCCCAGATTCTGCAGGAAGCGTTGCTATAGGGAGTCCTTGCCCTAGGACAGCACTTCAGCCAATGCTGTTACTAAAGATTCCCAGCCTTTAGGGGGGGTTTGGGGG